TTTCGTCAGTTTTAGCTCTGTAATGTCAAACATCAATTCTTGTGTTGTTGATTTCACCATGATTAGCAACTAAACCTCTTTTCACCAATTGTGAGATCTAACCGTTTGCTTTTCACCAACGAATTTTGAGTATTTATTTATTCTCTTTGATGTGTATTGATGATTATTTGGCATTACTTGAATAGCTGGTAGCATTCAATTCTCCTAGATAATCTAATTTATGGAACAACAAGGTTTGTTTGTTCCTTAGAAGAGACAATGCAAATAATTACTTGGAAAGTAGTTTACTTGTGTTGTGAGAATAAATAATCAATTCTTAATGAAACAAGGTTTGTTTGTTAGAAATTGAATTGGGTCTTTGCTTGTCAAAAACTAAATCCTAGGAGGTTCCAGGTAGTGTTTTTTTGGCTATAGAGTGATTAATTAAGGTTTCTTAGTCACTGGTAGTTAAATAAAAAGACTGAGTTGTTAGGAGGTTTCAAACAACGATAACTAATATATTCATCATTTGTTGAGTTAATCTTTGCATCAATGATCAGTTGGATACATCAAGGTGGAAATTATTCCTTTGACTAGAGTTGCTCTTATTATTGATTTTCCAAAAGTATCTTTTATTGTTTGCAAATTATTTTTGTTATTCATTAGTTACAAATCCAAAATCTCTCCCATTTGGTTACTTTGCTTTTGATTAGAAATATTTTCACTTCCTTGCTCCCTGAGGAGACGACTCTACTCATTGCTATGCTACTAAATTTGTTAAGAGTAGAATCTTTTATTTTTGTTGGTTTGACAACCCACCACAAACTAAGATATCTTAAGAAAACAAAATTTTTGAGGTAGCATATACCATGAGTCAGGAATACCACGCAACTTATCAGTTCTTCCAGAAATACAACATACAGAATTACAACATTGATTGTGAAAACTATTTTGTGTGTTACATTTATACAGAATTACAACATATAACTATGGTAACTATTTATCTACCTAAATTTACATGTACTTATCTTATGTAAATATTGTAATTATACAATATAATCTCATTACTCCCCCTCAAGTCGGAGCATGTAGATCTAGAATGGCCGACTTGCATAATAATGCATGGAACTGATCACGACCCAAAGCTTTCGTGAAATATCAGCCAGTTGTAGTTTCCAAGAAATTGGGCGAGGAACAAAAAGTTTCGTCTAAAAATGATGATGAATAAAATGGCAATCAATCTCTATATGTTTCGTCTGCTCATGAAACACGGGATTCGCCACAATGTGAATCGCAGCATGGTTATCATAGAAGAGAAAGATTGGTCCCGAGGATGGAACACCCAATTCCGACAACAAACGAACGATCCACACTAACTCACTAGAAGTGATAGCCATGGCTCTATATTCTTCTTCTAGTGAGGAACGAGATACCACTGTTTGTTTCTTGGAGCGCCAAGAAATAGGAGAAGATCCCAAGAACACAAGAAACCCAGTAGTGGATCTGCGCGTGGTAGGACAACCTGCCAAATCCGCATCACAATATGCCCGTAAATGCAAAAAATTTGCAAAAGGAAGGTAAATATCTTGACCTGGTGCACCTTTCAAATAATGCAGAACTCTGAAGGCAGCATCCATATGTTGTCGATGAGGTTTCTAGATGAATTGACTAAGGACATAAACATCATAACTAATACCTACACGTGTGATAGTCAAGTATAGTAAGCTTCCCACAATACGCCTATAACGACCAGGATCATCACAAAGTTCAGCTTCTTCATGTGCAAGCCGATGGTGTTGCTCCATTGGAGTGGCACAAGGTCGACAGGCAATGAGTCCACATTCAGCAAGAATACCCAAGGTGTATTTCCTCTGAGTAAGGGCAATACCAGCAGGAGAACGAGCAACTTAAATGCCCAAAAAATATTTGAGCGCTCCAAGCTCCTTTATGTGGAACTGACTGTTGAGATATTGTTTGAGGTTGCTTATCTTTGGAAGATCATTCCGAGTAACAATAATACATATTGTCAACATAGATAAGGATAGCAATGAAACAATTCTCATGTGTGTAGGTGAATAAGGAAGAATCAGAAAATGACTCCTTGAATCCAGCAGAAACTAGAGAATGAGTAAATTTTTGATACTAGTTGCGCGAAGCTTATCGCAAGCCAAAAAGAGACTTACGCAGGCGGCAAACTCGTTGCTCCCCCTTTCGTGCAAAACCTTGGGAAATGTTCAGGTATACTTCTTCATGAAGGTAGCCATGGAGAAAGGAATTAGTTACATCCAATTGATGCAGTTTCCAAGACCTAACGACTGCAACCGCCAATAAACACCTGACATTGACCAGCTTTGCAACAGGAGCACATGTTTCATTGAACTCAATGCCCTCAATCTGAGTATAGCCCTTTGCGACCAGTCAAGCCTTATAGCGCCTCAATGCTCCCATCCGGCTGAAACTTGATTTTATAAACCCATTTTGAGTCAATTGCCCTTTTTTCCAGGGGGCAAAGCTTCTAAATTGCAAGTGCCGTTGGCTTCAGAGCCGAGATCTCCGTACTCATTGCCTATCTCCAAGGTGCATGCTTAACTTCTTCAAAGAAAGAAGTAGGCTCATCTACAGAAGAGATGGCTGATAAAAAAGTAGTATGAGGTTTAGAAAAAAAATTGTAGCACAAGGAGCTGGAAAGAGGATATACCATCGAATTAGCTGATGGTGTGGTGGATGACTCAAAGTTGGGAACCAGTGAATGCAGTAAAGTATACTTATAACCAGATAGGCGTTGTGACACTTGGCGAGATCGACGAGCTGGAGGAGAGGGCAATGGTGCAATGTCTTGTGTGCTAGGAAGAGGTGAAAATGGTGGAGATTCATTTGTAACCGGAGATGACTCAGAAACCTCGGAAGGAAGTGGCATTGGAGAAGATTCATGAGCTGATGATTCTGCGGAAGCTGGTGGTTTTAATTCATTATCGGATGCAAAAGTGAGATCAATGTTTGTCCCAGGTTAATCTGAGGAAGATAACGGAAGAGAAGCCAAACAATAGGGAAAGTCATCTTCAAAGAAATGAACATCTCTAGAAGTAGTGATCACCTTACGATCAAGGTCAAAACCTCGATAACCCTTCTGCCCATGGGGATATCCAAAAAACAAAAAAGGATGACCACGAGATGCAAATTCGTCTCGGGCTTTGCAGAGTCATTTACATAACAGAGGCACTCAAAAATACGCAGATGTTCATATGATGGTTTTTTACCGAATAAAATCTCGTATGGAGTTTTATTATTTAATGAAGACAATGGCATGCGATTAATGAGATATGTGGCAGTAAGAACACATTTGTCCCAAAAACTGATTGGTAAGTTTGCTTGGAACCTCAATGCCCTAGCAACTTCTAGAATATGATGATGCTTACGTTCTACGTCTCCATTCTGTTGAGGCGTATATGTACAACTAGTTTGCTTCTCAATTCCATTATCCGTAAAATGAGTCAACAAGGTAGAATGACTGAATTCAAGACCATTATCAGTTCGAAACACCTTAATCTTAGCATCAAATTGCGTTTTTAACCCAGTTGAAAAATAACAACAAATATCTTTTGGTCTCAGACTTGTGACGCATGAGAAAAATCTATGTAGATCGACTATCATCATCCACAATAATAAGAAAATAATGTGCGCCAATTAAGGATAGTGTTGCACCGTGTGAAGTAATTGTCTCCGGTTTCGACCAAGACATTAGTAACAAATATCAAATCAGGATGATCCGATGAAGGGACGACGAAAGGAGACTTCAGGTCAACAATGGCAGTCGAATCAGCAGTAAGAACTTGTTGTTCCGATGGCGTTGCCGTAACTCGAGAAGAAGTCGGTGAAGTTGTTTCAACCTAGATTAACGATGGAGGAAACTGATCAATATGGCTGGATCTCAATCAATCAGCCGAAAGCGTCAATGGCTGAAAAAAAAAAAAAAAACAGCCGGCAGCCAAAAGATGTTTTTAGGTTTAGGGTTTTCTTTAGGCTCTCGATAACATGAAAAGTTGGATCCAAATTGATTCCACTGATTGTGTAAAACTATTCTGTGTGTTACATTTATACAGATTTATAACATATAACTATGATAACTAGATAACTACCGAAATTTACATGTAATTATCTTATGTAAATATAGTAATTATACAATATAATTTCATTAATAAGATTTGGAACGAATTAAATAACAGACTAGTGGTTAAGATGATGTCATTATTTTGAATAGATCTAGATTTAATTTCTACAAGCTCGGGTTTGTAAATGGAGAATTTTATCTACATTTAAATTGGATCTACTAAGCTGAATTGATACTTATATTCAGATGGATAATTAAAAAGTTTTTGTGCAACTTGCCTTTAAAACGTCATATTCCATTTTTTTTATCATACTTGCTAAGTAAATAGAGCCAGTGAAACTGATGTTAAAAACTCTTTACATTAGTGAAACAAGTTCTATGATATGGACAAACACAATGATGTACGATAAAACTCTTTTAGTTGGTAATGAAATCACTTTTTTATCCAAAAAAAAAGGAAAGAAAAGAAAGAGACGCATGAGGGTTAGGGCATTAATTTTGCGATTAATTCCAATTAAGGTTTATGCATGGGATGTGGGGTTGAAATAGGTGCAAGCCAAAGTAGATGATATGAGTAGTTTTCTTATTATTCGAGATAAAAGATTATAAGGCCACTTGAGAGCATTCTTTGAGGAGTACATAAATTACTAAGGCGTATTTATTAGGAACTATCTTCTATACGGATTGACGCATATTTAGAGGCCAAACAAACAAAAGCTATATTCTGCCAATAACCAACATTGCATATAAATGTAAAACCAGCTTCGCTTACTAAAAATAGTGAGTCTATGTAAAGCTAGCTCACAAATTTATTGAAAGAAGCCATTACAAGACCATTATTTACTTCACATAATTTTGTAGTACAAGGGTCATATGTAATTTTATTATAGACAAAATGGTGGCCAAGTAATGATCATCTCCATTTTGTATACACGCCAACATAATTAACACTTCGTGAGCGTGAGCCAACATATAAGGTTGCTCCCTGTATAAGATCAGAGTACTCTTGCACAACATTAATTTGAGCATTGCCGTATTCCGCAGTGAAATTCTTAAGAATAATTATGTCACCCTTTGAATTGAACTTGTATCCATATCCATTAGTCAAACGAGGTTGCTGTTGAACAATCACGTTTGCTGTCCCCCAAAACAATCCGAATTCCGGGGCTCTCTTGATTTTGACCGGAAAACCTAGTAAACTATTAATCAGAACTTCGGATGCTCCTGCTTTTGGCCCTATCAGATAATATTTGTAAACCTTTTGAGTGGTGAAAGAACCGTACACAATAAACGAGCTGTCTGAACTAACTGCTGGTCCTCCCGGACGAGGAATGTTCCTCAATAATTCTCTTACTTCTCCGGTTACGGTGTTATATTCTAATAATCTTCCACTTGAATCCCCTGGAGGAGCTGGGATTCCTAAGCTAGCATCCCTATGTTACCAAAACATATATAGCATAAATAAAGGCGAAATCCAGTTGAAATAGTAATGATAAAATGCTCCAAGAATGAATCAATGAATGGAATCAACACCTACGTAAAATTGTATACCAGACTGGCATCGGTGAAGTAAACAACTCTTCTGAGTTTATCAAACTCGCATCCATTGAGAAAGTTGAACGTTACGCCATTTGCACTAGTAGCAAGTAACGTGGCTTGTCCACCTTGGGGGCCAACTCTATAGAATCCACCATAAGCACCCACAATGTAAAGATAACCAAAAATCGGGTCAAAACTAAAACCTAATGGCCTTCCGCAGACAGGACCCAAACTTAGGTTTGTCACTCCATCACATAACTGTTTTGACCTGAGACAAAAAAAAAAAAAAAAAAAAATGGAAGAAGAAGAAGAAAGAAATGCATCTTGTATTACACTTGGTTGATTATATATATACAGGTAGTTTCGCCCATATATAGAATAAGATTAGTAAACAAAAACAGATAATTAAAAAGAATATCTCATTTATATATATAGTCTTTTTCCCGTGAGATGATCATATTTGTTTACCGGGAAATTAAGGAGTTCATCGGTCCCAAAATGATTATCCAGTTTGAGATTTCACTTTTAGTACAATTCAAACTAAAAACGAAAACTTCAACAGAACAATAATTTTAGAATAGAGGGAGTATTTTACTAGTATACTCAAACATTTCATTAAAATGGAGTCCTAATTAAACACTGCACCAGTTTGGTAAACATATGGTGTAATATATATTAGAAGAAAAATTTAACCTGTTTGGTGAAAGGTAAGCAAAATCCACGAAATCCGTGCCATTGTACTTGAGAATTCTGCCATCACTAACACCCACATAGGGACCTTGATTATTTGGATCTCGGGAAACTGAATCGGGACCAAAAGGTCCAGGTACTGGAAGATTGAGTTTGGAAAATCCCGTGTACAGATCGGGAATTGGGAAAGCAAATAATTGAGGAATGAAAAACTGGACGCCAAAAACCAATAACAATATTGTGTACAACATTATTGTACTTTGCTATTTCGAGAACAAATTAAGGTGATAAGAATTTAGAAAGAAATTCTGCATTATTTATAGGCAGGGGGATATCGGCTTAAGGTGTGCAGGTATAGGACGGCACGAAGCTTGTAGGATCTAGTGCATTATTATGCAAGCTTCCGGTGAAGATATCGAACAGTATGGAAACTGGAGTTAATTAGTTCAAATCAATGAATTTTGCCTCCCAAAAAGAATTTACCCGACTTATATTCAAATTAGTTGAGCAATGATTTCAAATATAATACAAAAAATAGTTTATCAGAGCTCCAAAAAAAAAAGTCAATATTTCGATCATATCTATTTAAACATATATGTATATTACGACCTGTATGTTATAATTTTTAAAATATATCGATCATATTTATTTTGAAAAAAATATTACCAATTATAGCAAGTTATGAAATGACCTTCCTTTTAAAGTCCATCACTCAATTACGTCCGGCATGTCATAGTCTTTGCTAGTGTAAGCCGCCCCCTCCCCCATGTGTAATCTGTTTCGGAACATAGCCCTCTCTCTACATAAACCAAACAAATGCAATGACTTCTTTCTTCTTTTTCTTTTTCCACTAATCATATACTCCCTCCACTAAGAAAAATGTAGATGAATTTAGAAAAACAGAATCTATAAATTGGACAATTTAATCTTTCAAATGAAAAGGTTACGTTTAAGAAAGTTTTTCATAAATTCACTTAAACAAACATAAAAACTTTCTTACTATGTAGAAACTCGAGTTGAACATTGCGATTTTGTGACGTTATGATATATGTTAGTATAAAGGCTACTGCCATCACCTATCCTTATCCCCTCTCTATACGCAGATCGAACTTAGATCCCCTACCTACAGCACTGCCACTCTTTGAAAGGAAATCACTTACCTTCTCAACGCACATTAATTTGTTGACCTAACTTGGCACTTTTAGCCACACTACTGTATAGATTGGCCAAACCTGCAAATAAACTTCCCGAATTGGGTTATCCTTATGTCTTCTCTAGTGTTTTCACAAGTTTTCTTTTCTTTTTTTTCTCCCCGTTTCTTGTTAGGTCATCGAGCTCGCAAGTAGCAATTACAACTGGAGATGCACTGGATAAAAATTTTTCATATTCTCGGAATTCCTTTTTTTTTTTTTGTTCTTTAGAAGTATATTTTATCAAAAGAAAACAATTTGACATACAGGAGGCGCACGAAATGGGTTTGTTGCACCAAGCTAGTTAGCAAACTAACGACATCTACATACCTACATGCATCAAATCTACTGCAACAAATTTTCATAAAAAAAATTAAATTTTACTTTAAACTATCACCAACCACTCTAACTTACCACTCATTCTTTAATATTTTCTCAAATTCACATACAGAACATACACGGCCGGAGGCTAGGTTTGAACATAGGAAGATTAATGAAGTTTGATTCTTTTTTTAAAAAAAAAAAAAAAACTGAAGTTAATTAATCGCTATAACCCAAAACAAAAGGCAGATTTTTCCATAGAACCGGTTCCATGGAAGGAGTGGTGTATCCCCTCTTCAAAATTAGACAATTGTCCAATTTGGGGGATCAGGTGGGGTTCACTCAATTTTTTATACCACCTACGTCCCATAAAAATAGTCCACACTGACTTTTCAAATTTGTACTAAAAACAATACAAAACTCAAAACTCAATGTGGACTATTTTTGTGAGACGGAGGGAGTAAAATTTTTGGGATCTCTTCATAATTTCAGTTAATTACATGGCAGTTTTTATTATTTTAAAAAAAAGATTTTAAAAAAAATCCAAAACAATAAAATGATTTTATCTCTTGGTCCATAAACTATTAGAAAATATGTTGTACATGTAATTTATAGTACTCGGTGATATTTATACAACGAACTCCATGTTAAATATATTTTTAAAATTTTATAATTAGGATTTTATAGTCTTCGATTTTTAATAAATCTATTTTATAACTATATTCCTGGAACTTCAAAAAAATTATCACAAGAACTTTAAAATTATATTGCTGGAATATCAAAATATTACAATAGGAACTTTGTAACTATGCTGCTGGAACATTAAATATATTCATGTTTAGGATTTAAAATACTTAAATTCAAACAATATTTTTCTCCCATATGGCGTTTAGGATTTATAGTTTAGAATGGTTTAAATACCACCCTTAATGGTTTAGGGTTTAGTTGCGTGCAAACACCCGATTTTGAATTTAAGGATTTTGATTAGTGATATGAAAAATAAGTATAGAAATTTCAAAAATAACAACAGATACATCAATATATATCCACAGGAATTTCAAGATATAACCACGGGAATTTCAAAAAATAACCGCAGGAATTTCAAAATATAACTACAAGAAGATGTACTAAAACAGAAAAACTAATTAATCACATTTAAATCACCCAAGCTTACAACTCTATGATTCTGCTGTTTAATCATTTGCTCGTATCTTGGGAAGCCTTTGTTTTATTTTTGTGAGGAACAAAGAAGGATAGGGAAAATACTCTTTCATGTCCTTAATATAAGGCATTTTGATTTATCCTAGGTTTAATCTAGTACATATTTTTAATTGATAAAAAAATCTTTAAAATATTTCGTAACAATCAAAAGAATAAAATCAATGTTAAAATATATTTTTAAGATTTTTTTTAATAAAAAATGCTCACTAGGTAAAATTTAGGACAAAATCAAAATGCTTTATATTAAGGACCGGAGGGAGTATTTTTATAATTTCAAAAATATTATATATAATCCTGTTCCTGGTGGAACACGGTGGTGGTGTACGGAAGAGGATGATTTATTGAGGTTAAGTTAGGAAAGCAAGCCTTTTTAAGTTAAGAAAAATGAACTTTTTGTGTTGTACATAATATTCTAATTAGTTGTAAAAATTTTCTGCAGATTAGCTTTGCGAGTTTATTTTTTGTCTTGAATAAACTTACATGTTCATGGATATCCTATAATAATATACTAGATGCTTGGCCCGGACAGATGCCCGGGCGCCCCCTCTAAATTACTATTTTATTAAAATCTAATTGAATTACTATTTTTTGATGAATTAATTAGGCGTATATATCATTTATGCTATGGTTTGAGGCTTAAAAAAATATACCTATAAATCTAAGGTTATAAGGGAATAATAAATAATTAGTTTATAAGGCATTATTCTTAATTGCTGGATTTAGGTATTTTTATTTTTTGTTTATATTAAGCCTGCAAACTATACGATTGGACATTTGAATTTGAATTAATATATCCATTCGTTTGAAATGTAACTGATCCTTACTTGTAGTAAAACATGTGTTTTTTTTAAAAAATAAAAATTATATAGCTTCTAATTAAAAGAGACTTACACGTGGCAAAGAAACTTCTGAAATCTGAAATATAGTGCATTGGAGTAAAACAGATGCATACGTAGTTGCCACATAAGCTTCATGCTTCTACTTTAATAGGGTAAAAGGGATAAATGAAAATGATATCTCATCCCAGATCCCACAACCATATTTTACACGTTGAATTTAGCTAAAATAAGTTTTTTTACTCTCCCTTAATTAGTATTACGCAGAAATCTAACGACCACTACAAAACCACTTTGGGCTTCAAAATTATAAAAACTCTCCATCTCCATTTTTTTTCAATCTATTCCGACGAGAGGAAGTTGAAAACCAGAAAAGCGAAAACCAAAGTAGATGAAGAAGAAAATAATAGAATAGCTTTTCTTGTTTAAACCTATATATCGTAACAAAGTTAGTTGGCGAAAAGAAACAACCCTATCCCGAAATAAAATTTAAGGACGATCTTAAAGACTTTTCATCCAACTCCAAAATTTTCTCCAACCCCAAAATAAATAAAAGAATCAATGGTTCTAGATTTTAGTTTTTAAAGAAACATAAAAAATAACATAGAGTTTCAAAAAAAAAAAAAATATGATGGTCTTTTTAATTTCTTCATGGATGATTGTCTTTTCTTTTGCATATGATTAATTTTGTCTACTTATAATTGTGTTGGATCACGCTCATTTTTTGTAAGCACAAAAACTAATTAAGCTAGAAAGTGGTAGTCCATGGTCTACCGAATTAATTTCTCAAAAAATATGCATAATGTGTGTCCTTTGTTTAAGAAGATGCATTAGATTTCTTTTTATTTCATTAAACAATACGAAGGAATTATTGGGAGAAATATGATATCAATATATAAGTTGATTTTGAGGTGCAATTCTATGGGTTTCTGTATGGTATCAGAGTCAGTCTGCCAACATCGGACTTCAAAAAGACTAATATAATAAAACTAGTAGACTTGAGGCATGAGGCGGTGTATGGACTTAAAAAAATTGACCAAGCCTAACAAAAAAAAAATTGTTGGGCTAGCTTGCGGGAGACTATTAACATGTTGGTGTCGGAAGAAATATAATATTAATATATAAGTACATGGGCTATTTCCCCTCATTACCAATTGATTTTGAGGAGGAACTCATAGGATGGACAGAGAGATCAATATGAAAAGGGCACCACTTCATCTCAAGAATTGTCAATTACTTAAAAAATAAAATAAAAAAACAAAAAATTGGATGGCTCTAGTTAGAATCGAACCCTCGATCTACCGGTAATAACCATTCCCATCCGAATCGTCAATTACTTTAAAAATATTGATAATATTAACTTCTTCCTATTTCAACCGAATGTATATATAGAAACATCAAAGGCTCACAAGTTTCGACATACGCGAAAGACAAATAGAGGAAATGATGATAGATAACTAGTAATCCATTCGGTGTGAAATTGATAGATGATTACTACGTTATACCCTAAATTCCATAATAATATTCTTAATTGATGTAATTTGATAATAAATGGTTACTAATAACAAATGCTAAATTAGGAAATCGTAATCTCTATCCGAATTAATGAACATAGCTGGGCAAAGTGTAGAAACCACCTTTTGCTGCCAAGTAATTAATATAGTACGATGTACAACTGTCCCATTTAAATATCTATTAGTACATTATTCTCTCTGTTCTAAAAAAAATAATTCACTTAAAGTTTTAAAATTTATATTATTTTTAATATAAAATTTAAAAATTCAATGAGACTATCTTTTTTGGAATAGAGAGATTATTCCGTTTTAAATTAACAAATAATCTATTAAAATGATACGGGTGAAGTAGTATAAGACGGTCCTGATATATTGGTACAAACTATTAGGTCAACTTCATTATTTAGGTTATTTATTATTGCAAAGCAGGTTATAACCCTTGCTCCACACACATAGTTAACCTTCATAATTCGTAACCTAATTTTCACCTTTCGCTATATTTGCCAACAAAACTCGCATCAGGTGATCCAACATACATGGTTGCTCCTCCAAGAAGACTAGAGTATTCTTCCACAACATTAACTCGAGCATTGCCATATTCCGCAGTGAAATTCTTGATCAGAATTACGCTTCCATTTGAATTGAACTTATAGCCATAAGGCTGAGCCACAGCAGCCCCTTGGTCTACTCCAACCCAATACAGTCCAAGTTCAGGGGCTCTTTTTATTTTGACAGGATTACCTGGTAAGCTTAACACGACTTCGATTGTTCCGGCTTATAGTCCGATGAGATTATACCTTAAGATTTGCTGATTTGTGTAGGAAGCGAATAACACATAAGTGCTGAGCAAATTAACTGCCGACCCTGATGGGGCCGGGAGATTTTGCGCTAATACGCTTACTTGTCCTGTTGAAACGTTGTATTTCAATAACCTTCCGCTTGAATCACGAGGAGGGTTCCCTTGCAAAGCATCCCTATATCATAAGTTCATGAGAGATTTATATAATTAACATAAATAAAAGGGACAAAAGAAAAAAATGGATGTATAATATAAAGACCTACGTGAAGTTAGATGTCAAGCTGGCGTCTGTGAGGTAAACAACTCTCTTCAGTTGATCGAAATCAACCCCAGTGAGAAAATTGAATCGCACGCCATTTGCCTCTGTAGCAAGTAATGTGGCTTGTCCGTCTCGTGGGATTATCCGGTAAAAGCCGCCATAAGCACCCACAACGTAAAGATTTCGGGTTAAAGGATCGAAACTGAACCCTAATGGCCTTCCGCATATAACGCCCAAACTTAGGTCTGTTGTATAGTCACATAATTGCTTGGACCTACGGCAACAAAAAAATGCTCAACATTGTCTCCGAAGAAGGGAAAAAAATGCTCAAAAAAATTGCTTGATTGTGAAGAAGGACAAAATATCACCAGTTTGGTGACAGATAAGCGAAATCCACAAAATTAGTGCCATTATATTTGAGAATTCTGCCATCGCTGACACCAACATACGGACCTCGATTCAATGGATCCAGAGCAACGGACTCTGGTCTAGATGCAATAATAAGATTGAGTTGGGAATAACTCGTGTAGGGATCGGTGATTGGGAAAGCAAATATGTGAGGAATGAACAACAAAATAACAAAAATGGAGAGCATTTTGTGCAGCATTGTACTATAACTAGCTAAAACAGCTAGCAAGAAGAATGGTGGTATTAAAAACTGAAATTTGAGTACATTATATATACGCAGATTCAAAATATAGGTACAAGTTCGTAGGGTTGCTGTAGCAGTAATATCCATAGCTGCAAATATACATAGATAAAAATAAATAAATTAGAATTTGTTTTTCGATCCTTTATACTCTCTCTGTCCCAAAATGACATAATCTCAAATGCCTGTCAAGTTGACAAGACTTGCAACTTGGACGGAACATGCATATGTGTACAGGTTTGTGGACTTGACAAATATAGTAATACAATACCCCTTAGTGTGTTTTTTTGATGTTAGGTTTTTGTGCCTCTTCTATACCACGTCTCCACTCGCGATATTTTCTCACTACTTCCCGCTTCTTTAGGGTATGTTTAATTACCACGAGTTAGGTGTATGAATGCGAGCATGCAACTATGTTCAAATTAGAGTTGGCTGGTGCTATATACGGCCAGTTGTATCGTCTACTCGTACTGGAAGTATTGGCCCGCCTTTTCATATTAATTACATTCAATTAGTAAGGTACTAAATCAATGCTGTGATGGGAGAGTTGTCTCTCTAAAAGGATCGATGTACCCAATATGGAATTGGATTATGGTCGAATAGTAGTAATTTTGAACATTTGAGTGTGCAATGCAACAATAATTCAATGGAGTCTGCAATTTTTTCCCATAACTTTTCTCAATCAGTAGATAGTACTACTCCAATTTCAAAATATGTTGAGCAATAAAGTAGGAAAGTAAAATATTTTCGCTCCCTTTATTTTTTTTTTTTTGGTGAAATGTGAATGTATTTCATTGAAGTATCATCAACTGAACTTGTATCAAGAAGCTATTACAATGCCAAGACTTTTCAAAAACCTAACATCATCTCCACTTCCATTCCTATACATATGTAGAATTCTACACTTTATTTCCTGCTGTATTTTCCTGATTCTATCGCCAGTTGCCTTATTTTTCTGCTGGAACAGCCTTTTGTTCCTTTCTGTCCAAATATGGTACACCACTGCATTCAAACTAGCTAACAGAATCTTCCTTCTGGTTGCTTTATATTTCCAGATCTTCATCATTCTTGCAGCAGACAGTGTTTTGATCTGTGTTCTTATTCCCAGCCAGTGAGTAATGCCAGCCATCATTTCCTGTGCATAGGAGCATTTAAAAAACAGATGTGCACCTGTTTCCTCCTCTTCCTTACACAGTATGCATGTTCGGTCTCTTACATTCATGTTCATGCTTCTCATTCTGTCTTTAGTTAGCAATCTACCTTTCCAAGCTAACCATGCACAAAAACAATGTTTAGGAAGAGAGGATTTACTCCAACAAACAGCTGCTGGTATAAATTTCCCTCTACTACCTCTCAGCCAGCTATAGCCACTTCTAGCATCATATTGTTTATCCTTGTTCCCTTTCCAGCTACCATTTACTACTCTAGCCTTTAGTGCATCTATGATCTTCATCAACTTCTTCCAATGCCAACTACAATCATTTGGAGGATCATAACTCCAAATACTCCTGCTTTTTAAGTAGTATATGTGCATCCATCTAATCCAGAGGCTATCTTTCTTTGATTCTAAATCCCACAACTGTTTTCCCAACATTGCTTTATTCCAAGCACCTGGTTCCTTTATGTTTAATCCTCCATCTCTCTTTGTATAACACAGATCATTCCAGGCTACCAAAGGAAGGCATTTTCCTGATTCTTTTTTCCCCCACAAAAACTTCCTACAACAAGAAGTAATTTCAATAATAACAGATTGTGGAATAAGAAAAATACTTGCCCAATAGCTGTGAAGGGTCATCAACACTACATTGATCAACACTGCATTGATCAACACTGTTTTTCCTGCATATGAAAGATGCCTGGATTCCCAACATTTCATCCTTGCAGTTACTTTGTCCACTAAGTACTGGCAATCTGATTTACTTCAAGCAATTGGAGCAACTGGAAGTCCTAAGTATCTCATAGGAAATGTTCCAATTTCAAATTTCATCACCTGCCTTATCACCCTTTGTGTACTTTCTCCTGATCCACCAAAATACAGATTAGACTTCCCTTCATTGATTGTCAACCCAGTGGTGCTTGCAAAATGATCCAGAGTTCCTTTAACCTTCCTGACTGTACTAATCTCAGCTCCACAGAATATTAGAAGATCATCTGCAAAGCTTAGTGATGTGATATTCAACTTTTCAGAGTATGGATGTTTCACAAATCCATCCATATTTGCCACCAATTTAAAGCTCCTGGTTAGGTATTCCATTACTAGCATAAAGAGCAATGGAGACATTGGATCACCTTGTCTTAATCCTCTTTGACCTGAAAAATACCCAACACTAGTTCCATTAAGGTTCAGTGAGTAAGTTGATGAAGCCACACATTCCATAATCTATTTTCTAAACCTCTCAGGAAACTTGTATTCTTGCAACATTTCCTCAAGGAACTCCCAGTGAACTGAATCATATGCCTTCCTTAAATCAACCTTCATCATACAGGATGGCTTGGCTGATTTCCTGTTATACAATCTGATTAACTCTTGTGCTAGCAACACATTATGTAGAATTAATCTTCCCTTGACAAATGCTCCCTGATTGCACTCCACTAAATCTGGTAACACAATGCTCAATATTTTGCAAATCATCTTAGAGATGCATTTATATATAGTATTACAGAAGGAGATTGGCCTGTATTCTGTGGCATTCTTTGGACTGGCATTCTTTGGTATTAGTGCTATCATGGTTGCATTGATCTACTTCTGCATTTTCCCAGTTTTGAAAAATTCCAGTACGGCATTGCTGAAATCATCTCCCACTATGTTCTATGCCTTCTGATAAAACCCACTGTATCCATCAGGACTAGAACTTTTGGTTTCATCAATGCTGAATAATGCTTCCTTTACATCTGCTTTGGTAAATTCCTTAATCAGTTGTATCTGTTGATCAAGGTTCAGTTTACTTCCTACTTCATTTCAGTCTTGGCACTAGTTCTTGCCACTTTTTTCCCCAATAGCTCTTTGTAGTAACCTATGAAGTGTTCCTCCACTCTACATTGGTCTTCCACCAATTCCCCTTGTTCTGAAACAAAAGCCTTGATCCTATTCCTGCTTATTTTTTGCCTGATTGCTGCATGGAAGTACTTAGTATTCATATCACCATCACAAATCCACTTTTCTTTCAACTTCTGTACCCAAAAACTTATTACTGCTCTTGCTGCTACAGTATATTCCAGTACTGCTTCTTTTTCTGATTTCTGTATTGCCTCATTCAATGGATCCTACTTTAGGGCCTCCTGAATCTTCTCTATTCTTACTCTGCATTCCTGCTCCTTCTCTTCTATATTGGCAAAATTCCTTTTATTAAACTGTCTCAGAATTTGTTTCAGCACCTTTTGCTTTCTCACTAGCTGGAATTGTTTAGTACCTTCCATTTCTATTTGCCAACCCTTCGCAATTGTTGATAAGAATTTTGGATGTTGTGCCCACATGTTAAAGTGTCTAAATGATCTTTTACTCTTTTGCAGTCCTTCTCCCCATCTGATCAGCAGAGCATTGTGATCTGAGATACCAGCAGGCATGACTGTACAGTATGCATCAGAATACCTTTGCATCCATTTATCATTTACAAACACTCTATCCAGCTTTGAAAAGATTCTCATTGCACCAATTTGTTTATTTGTCCAGGTAAATCTACCCCCATAAGTCTGCATTTCCCACCATTTATTCTCTTCAACCAGATTCCTGTAAATCTCTGTATCAGCACTGACTTCATTCACTCCCCCAATCTTATCTTATTTCTGTAATATACAATTATAGTCCCCTATAACAAGCCATTCTTCACACCCATTAAGACTAAGTTGTCTTAACTCTACCCAAACATTTGCTCTTCTCAGTGCGTGTATTCATTATATACTACTGTCAGGGTGAAAGATTTAGTTCCACCCACCTCCTTCATTCCACTAAAAAAATTCAATCTATTACACATTATTTTCGTTAAACAGAAATAACTTCATGCATGAGAGTCCTAAGTTTCATTTATGCTCCTCTTCGAATTCCCTACAAATCAACACTGCACGTTACCTAGCTAGGCTCGCTAGTCGCTACATATATAACCCCCCTCTTGAAAGGAATTGATGAGATACAATTAAGTTGACCAAACTTGAAACTCGTAGACTGGACCAAATTACTCTTAATATGTGGATTGCCGTTTGTAATTGCCCTATTTTAGAGATTGCCCACGCTAAAGATCAAACTTTCCAAAATAAGGGATCTCCGAGGTCTTCACTTGTGATATTTTTCTCACCACCCGCTACTTTGGGGTGTTTTCACAAGCAAATTTAATTCTATGGCCACCATGAATTTCTTGGCAAGCTGACCAGCAGGCATGTTAGGTGTAACATACTAGCTATATGCTCTAATTAGAATCTCGATTTGGACATGACTATTCTCAAGATGAGTAAAGGTCTTATACTCTATGTGGATTGCCAGAGTTTCAGAACCGAATCCTGTTTGAAACCAACCAATTCCGATCAGAAAACTAAATAGAATCGAACCGACATGTAGAAAGACAATTTTATTTACGAATTTCAGTTCTAAAACTGCAGGTTGCAAGTGCATGTTTGATTAAGTAATTGTTTTGAATTTTCACCTCAACGTAAATGCTTTTGAAACAAAATAATAATAAATAAGAAATTGAAGTTCTTGAATTAAAAGGGAAATAAATTAAAACTAAATTCTATAAAAACTATATTCTACACGAAATTGTAATTTGGAAACTACACACAGTTAGATGACTTCAAGTGAGAGAAAATTAGGTTTAGACTCTAGAATCCGTCAAAAAAATTTTTATGACACTTTTGTATTACATTCTTTGTAATACCAGTTAAATGATTGACACGCGCTTAATTGTCAAATAAGATTCACTTACTATTTATTTAGGATGTTAGTAACTAACTAATTAAACATGTCTCAAGCATTTTACTACTATCACAGGGAGTGACATACCAAATATCACAGAAGATCCAATAACAGAGTCCCTATGCAACATTTGCATTCTGAGTGCGATTTCTCGACGTTTCAAAATTAGTCATATAGTCCCACATTTATTAAACACTATAGGTTGATTTAGTACCTAGGCCGTAAGTTAACAAAATACATAAAGGACATTAATCACTACCATTAACGGAGCCCATTTATTAATTTTTTTGAAAAAAAATTGTCATGGTCCCAAGCAGGTCCAGACCTTTCATTTTCAAAGAGAAAAAAAAAAAACACAAAATTCAAAGGGAAAAAATGTAATTAACCTATGTGATTTTTGTCATATTCAACAGCAAGCTCAGGAGATTAATTAACACTTAGGAAGAAATCACAGAAATAAGGAGTCATCAACCACATTGTCAATTTACATGCAAATATGTTTTTGACGATTTCATACCATGTCCATCCTTCTACACATTTAAATGTCGTACCTACCATCATCAAGAACATAGCCAAAGCCTAACAAAATTTGCTTGTTAGGCTATATATCCACCGTGTTTTACTTGCATTGCAAAAAATTTGAGATTTCTCGCCTTGCAATTATCCTCCGTGTGCGCCGTTATTGGAAATGTTACAGCGTAGTTTTCGGGACTTTAATCTTCTTCCGTGCACTAAAAAAATACTGCTTACTAAAAACTTGTAAATAAAACACAATATATATCATGCACACATTTTATCAATGTTTAATCCGACTAGAACTTTGGGAGTAAAATGTAGTTCACCCTTTATTAATAACAACCGATTACAAGTGCATTACTTCGTTTTAGTACTTTTTAGTTTGTAGTACAAGGTCACAATTTGTAGTAATTTTTTTTTTTGGGGGGGCATACTATAGGGGTGTCCTCTGTCGTACACACGGACTAACTTCTCTCGCTTATGACAGGCACCTTGACAAGTGGGAGAGCGGATCAAAGGATTTGTAGTAATTTATGATCACCATTTGGTATACTTACCAACATAATTTGAAGTGCGCGAGCCAGCATACAAGGTTCCACCTTGAAGAAGATTAAAGTATTCTTGCACAACATTCACTCGAGCATTGCCATATTCCGTAGTGAAATTCTTGATCAGAACTACGTTACCATTTGAACTAAACTTATAACCATATGCCTGAACCACAGGAGTAGGTTGCTGCTGAACCATTTGGTTTACTCCCACCCAAAAATATCCAAATTCCACGGCTCTTTTTGTTATGCCTGGGGCACCTGGTAATTCAGGTACTAAAACTTCTGTCGTTCCGGCTTTTAGCCCTTGGAGGTAATATTTGAAAATTTGTTGAGTGTTGTAAGAACCATACGCAATAAATGTGCCGTCGGCGCTAACCGCGGGTCCTGCTGGACGGGGAAGATCCTTTAGCAATGCTCTCACTTCTCCGGTTACGGTGTTATATTCTAATATTCTTCCAGTTGAATCTCCTAGAGGAGCAGGAATTCCTAGAAGATTATCCCTATCACAATATAGAGCATATAAAAATGGATGAATCGTAATTAAATTAGTTGGAAGCATAATACATATTTCAAGAACAAATTATATACTTTCTCTGTCCCATAATTATTGTCCAGTTTGAGTTTTCATTTCTAATACAAATTATAGTTAAAAGTTGAATGAAGACTCACGTGTAGGTGTATACCAAGCTGGCATCTGTGAAGTAAACAACTCTTCTGAGTTTATCGAAATCACAGCCATTAAGGAACTTGAATGTAACTCCATTTGCACTTGTAGCTAGTAGTGTGGCTTGACCTCCTTGTGGTCAAACTCTATAGAATCCACCATAAGCACCCACAACGTAAAGATTTCCCGTTGCCGGGTCAAAAGAGAGTCCATTTGGCCTTCCGCATATCGGACCAATACTAATATTTGTTGTACCATCACATAATTGCTTGGTTCTAAGAGAGGAAAAATGGTGGCATACTAAATACAGTTAGAAGAATATATGCACAAACACAAAAAGTAAGGGAACTTAATTACCCGAAAAGCGACAGAAACTTTAAATTAGCAAAATGTTAGCAACAATTATAATGAAGATTGTGTCCTGTTCTTTCGTGTATCAATTGCATTTTGTTATTGAAACAATATATATTTAGTCCTTTTTTTTTAGTCTGTTTAGTCTGTTTGGGTTAAATAACGTAAATTTAAATATTAATATATAATGAGGATATCAAGAGAAGGATGATCAATTATAGGAGAAGAAGATGAGCCTTTCACCTTATTGATAAGGGGAATTTTTGAAATATGAATTCGTTATTATTATAGTCCGACAAATTGCTCAAACAATTTACTGATTACTTAACCTTTTCAAAAAATGGGATACTATTAGCCTTAAGTGTTTTTCTTTCTGGGACTTTAAATTCTAGGGCTCAATTCCATATGGCAATTTAGCTTCGTTGATACGTAATAGGGGGGTCTAATTTACTTAATACCCCAAGTGATGTATCGTGATCTGTTGTTTAGTATTTGTGAAAAAATAACTTCCATTTCCCTCATGAACACAAAACTTAAAAATCAAAAAACGTCTCATCCACTTCAATCTTTTTGAGGCGGTTATATATATTGGTGTGTGTATATATATATATATATATATATATATATATATATATATTAAGTATAATTATCTTTTAAGGAATAAAATGGTAAAATAGAGTCTAGAGTCTCATGCCCAATTACTGATTATAGTTACTGGAACAACATTTTACCTGTTTGGAGAAAGGTAAGCAAAATCCATGAAATCACTACCATTGTATTTGAGAATTCTGCCATCACTAGTAGCTACGTAGGGACCTTGATTTAATGGATCCAGGGAAACTGAACCACCATTTACTCCCGGAGGAAGGTTGAGTTTGGAAAATGTGGTGTATGGATCGGGAAGTGAGAAAGCAAATGAGTGAGGAATGAAAAACAGAATGCAGAAAATGATCAACATTGTTCTATTTGGAGCAAATCAAAGATGGTAAGATTCAAAAGGAAAAACCGCAGTATTTTATAGGCACGGGGGCATCACATTTGATCCAAGTTGTGGTAGCCTATTAGGGCAGCTCTAAGAGAGTAATCCTTTTGGTTCTTAATATAAAGTATTTTGATTTGTATTATGTTTCACCTAATATATTTTTCTAATTGACAAAAAAATTTAAAATTATTTTGTAAATCAAGAGAATACAACAAATGTGAAAATATACTTTTAAGATTTTTTATCTATGTAAAAATGCATATTAGGTAAAATCTAAAATAAATCAAAATGTCTTATATTAAAGATCAGAGAGAGTATTAGGTTTTGTAACTTTCAGTTATTCTTTAATTAGTGGGATGGATTACTTTCTCCATCATCACTCTCTTTTATTTCTTTTTTCTGACTGTTTTTCAAAACTACCTACTAAGCTATTCCATCCAGAAATGCAGCTAAGGCAAGTGACTTCCGTATAAATGAGGCCCTATTAGGCATGTTAGGAATTCTTGCATGCTTGCCCAGTTCAAGTTTAATGACATTTAGCTATCATCAAGATATTAAATTTAAGTTGGACATAATATAGGGATTAGCCTGAGTGGCAGCTTAGTATGATCTCATTATATTGCTCCTTTAAAAAAAATTAAGACAACCTTTTTACCTTAATATTATTCTTCTGTCAGTAAATATTATTCTAGTTTCACAATAAGAGCAGTAAATTTTAGAAGGGTGGAACTACTTATTTTTACTAAACTAACTAGGATACAAAATTTCTGAAGTTTTCAACTTTTTGTATATGTGCATTGTGTTGGGTAATAATTTTGGGTACTATTCAACAATGATTTTTCTTTTTCCTCGGAAACAAATATATACAAATTCTACGCCCCGAAACGTTTTCCTATTTCCCTCCATCTACGTACACTACATAAAAGCCCTAGCCATGCAGGTCAATTGCAAAAATTCCATTTCTACTATCTCAAGTTAAGTAAATTAATAAAAAGACAAGCAAAACTCTTAAGTTAGGATGAAAGTATATGAAAGGAATTCAGATCCATTCTCAAGTCAGGAGAAATATTACCTAAATTGCAGCTAGCACTGAAGTTGTAGCTAGCTAGACTGGACAAACTTTCGAATTGGCATGCATGTAGCCCCCCTATTGTACAGCAAGATTGGCTATATGCTGAAGAACGAAATTTTCCGAAAGAATATAGAAATCTCATATATCTCCGCTTGTGTTATTTTCTCCATTCTCCATGCTTGTTTAGAGTACTTGCCGATCAGATGTAATATTTCCTGTGCCCTAAAAAGGATCTATTTGTTACATGAACAAAGATGGCTCCATGTTTTGGAGAACAGTATTAGTTAATTAAATTCACTAATTTTATGAAAAGTCTTCTCTTTCGGTTAAATGGGTTCATGAGATCTACCTTAAAGGTATCTTTATATGGAGTGTTGATGTTAAACCTTCTTATTCTTGGGGTACAAAGAAAATATTGAGACTTAAAGAGTTGGCATTAAAATGCGTATCCGTGACAAATGAATCTTTGACATGGATAGCTCCAGGGAGGCCATATTCTTTTCATGCATGCTATGATGTTTTGGACTCCAGAGTGTATCCTTCTCCATGGTGGTGCAGGGTTCTATGGTCCAGGTTAACTCCTCCAAAAGTCTCTTTTGTTTCTTGGCTATGTTATTTGGATCGGCTTTCGCTTAGAACTACTGTGTCCAAATGGAATCCTTCTGTCAATACTCTATGTGTCCTTTGCAATCAACATGAGGAGTCAGTTAAACACCTCTTCTTTGAATGCCATTTCTCCTCTCAAATTTGACTAGCGATTTGTGATTTTCATGGATGGGATCTTCCCTGTTCTTGGGATGCTATCACTCAGCATATTCTAAGATGGAAGAATGATATTTTAAGTGCAGCTAAGAAAGCTTCTTGGTGTGTCTCGGTCAATTATATTTGGAGAGCAAGGAATAAGATTATCTTTCAAAATGAGCCTATGGTTATCTCCAAAGTTATTCAAGAGATTGTTTTTTCATTTGAAAATTAGATTCGCTGCGATAGAAAGGATTCCAAACTCCCCCAAGATCATCTTGTGGTGTAATAGACTACACCTTAATCCATTGGTTGTCAGTAGGAGATGACATGTATGATAGTTTTTTCTTTTATATTTTGTTGTATTTGTAATTCTTTTCGGACTTTTTTGAACAGTCTGTACATAATTGTTTTTCTCTGGTAATGAAATTAAATCTTTACCAAAAAAAAACTTTCTGGGCTATACACCTGAGCTCATCTCCTATTTTAATTCCCCTAGTATCATATATATACAAATACCTATTTTGCAAGTTATGCTTCCTATTGCAGGCCTGCCATAAGAAATCGCAAGAACCATATCTCTCAAAGATATATATATATATATATATATATATATATATTGGGAAAAACACTGAGTCTTTACTACAAATCCTTCAATTGATCTAAATCAATTCGGAAGGTGAACCAACCAATTCTCCAACTTTTTGGAAGATGAACAAACTGATATGGAATTAACAATGGAAAGGGAGTCTTTCTAAAATGAAATCTCAACTCAATCACATCACAATCGCAAGAAATAAAATAAGGGCAGGTCTAATGTTAAAATCTGTCGTTCTTCTAAGCTAAACAAAAAATCAAATTTTGTGTAATTTTACATAGAGTTTAATATATTCGTTGCTCTATTTATTTTTCATATTTTAATGAAGTTTATTTTTGTTTAAAAAGAAATACAGTACTCTTCGTTCAAAAACATAATTTACTTAGTTGGATTAAACTACATTAGCAAAAAAATCATTTTCATCTTGCCTCCCATACCGTAGCTATATGCGCCTCTTATTTGAAAGGAGTTCGGATACATTCTCAACGCACATTAAGTTGACCATATTTGCAACTTGGAGTATATATGGCTCGGACATAAATATGTGTAGACTCGACAAAAATGGCATTGCGCGTGTATTGCCATTTGTAACCGAGCTATTTTATAGATTGCCCACCCTAAAGATCAAATTTTCCAAAATGGGAAATCTCTTTTAAGTTTCCATTTGTGTTCTTTCCGACTATTTCCGCTACTGCCAATTCCGATCCGAAACATCAATAGAACCGAAACCTGAAATATACATGGACATATCATAGTAGCGGTTTTCGGACTGTCATGTTAAATTCCAACTTTAATTAATTTTCACCTCAATTTGATAACTTAAAATTAAATAGTTAAGAAAAAGTTGAAATTCATTAATTAAAAATAAACACTCAACCCTATCGAATTAATTATATTAGGTTGTTGATAAATTGAGAGCAAAAATATCAAATAAAGAGCATTCTTTTCCTAACTACCTATGTTACCCTTTTACATGAATTTAATATGTATTCTAAATTTTTCTTTTTTCACCTTAATTTCTCCCACTCTTTATGATAGAGGAAAAAACTATTTCTCACACCCTATTAATTAACATCTATTTATTTTCTACCTATTTTAAGTTCATTACATCTATGCTATTTATTTTAAAATTTACGTTGGTTTTTTCCGTGTTATGATCTGTCAAAATTTTCATTCAACGTAAAATAAAATAAAATAGAAGTCCGCATAATGTGATCTTGAAATTTTTCTTGAATAACATAAATAAATATTGGCGCAAATAAAGTTGGAAAATTTTAAAAACTCCACTACATTTAGAATAGATATACATTTAGGAAAAATTATTTTTGTATACACAAAATACATGTGTATAAAAATTTGGAAAAATAACTATAGATGTTATCTTATTTTTATGGGGTAGTGATTTTTGGTTTTTTTTTTTTTTTTTGAGACAAGTCCTCAAAGAGTTCTTAATATATTTTTCCATGTGAGATTGGAACACTTTTTTTCATAATGAAAATCTTGTCAGATTATTTTTAAAAAAAAAAATTTAACAAAAGGAATGTGGAACTAAGAGTATAAGATAGGCCTGTAAAGGTAATTAATGTGATAATAATGATAATAAATCATAAAGGAAAGAGAAATAAGAATATATATTGAAACATGTAAACGTGTAACATGTGTAATTAGGAAAAAATTGCTCTTTATATAACATTTTTGCTCTCATTTTATCAACACCCATTATTTTTTTTTATCTTTTTTAACAAAAAATAATTTTATTAATAATGAAGAAAAAATAGGGCAGCGAAAATTATAGGTAAATAATTCCTGAATGCGATTTAATTCTAAGGTTTTAAAATTAGTCATTTAGTCCCACACTCATAAAGCGTTAGCTGATTGAGTCCCGTAACCGTAAAAAACTTAAAACATAACGGGAATCCACCTCTCCCAAATGATGAGGCGCATCCGGGCAACAGTTTCTTTAATTGATCAAACAACCTGTAAAATTAAACAAAAAAAACAAAAAAAATCGAGGGTGTTCTCAAGAGCAAACCCCCAGCACTCAAATTAATACTTTCTCCGTCCCATAGTTATTATCTAGTTTGAATTTTTTTTTTTAGTACTATTTATACTAAAAGTGAAATCTCAAACTGTACAAAGTTTGGGAGAGGAAATATTTTATTTGAGAGAGTAAAAGCATGGCACAATTGTTATTCTATGACCGCTGTTACTTCAATTAATTCATAGGCACCTGTAAAACTGGGGCTTACTTTGGAGTTTATTGCAAGGTTATCAGATCTGTGGTACAAATATACATAGATATATTGAGTATTGTTCAGATTCGAGATGATGATAGTAATTAAAGACGTTTGAATGAGAGCACGCTTTGAGAAGTAAAATTTTGAAAGCATCTTTGTTAGGAATTGTAATTACTCCTTCCGTCTCAAAATTATTGTCTAATTTACTAAAAAAATTTTGTCCCAAAATTATTGTCCGATTTGACTTTTTATGAATTAAATTACAAATATACCCTTTAAGAAAACAAAATTAACTAAAACCTTTTTCCCTCATTTGCTGCCCACACGG